TCAAATTTCCTTTGGAACAACTCACACAAACTTAGCCTGGAACCTGTTAAATGCAACGACCCAATTAACTTTAAAATATTGTGGAATATTTGTACTCCATTTGCTTGTTAATATTCTACTCTTTTAATGAAGTTGGATAATAATTGAGGTATATGCAAGCTTGCAAATAATTGTCGTCTATAGCTTGGTCACTTCTCAAGCTACTGAGTAGTTTTCATCAGACAAGAAGTAAAACTGGTTGTCGAAAATTGTCTACAGAAGATGACATCAACTCCACATGTTTTTACCTACAGCCACACAGATACAGTATTATTTTATAAAGTGGATCACTATCAAAGAATTTCATTATTTGGCTTCATTAAAACAAATGTTTTTTTGCATCATATACGTGTACCCACATTCAGACTGTCCAACTACCAAGGGCATGTGTGTCCATCAAATTTGAAATTTGTCACACATTTGTTCAATGATACATGAGCTAAGACATTATGGTCTGTAAGTCAAGCAAAAGTTTTAAATTTCAACTAAACAGTTGTGTGCTACGGCTAGTTTTAGATAAATTTTATTGTAATAACTCAAACGTAGCCTTCCCTGAGAGTAATTTTTATGTGACTGATTTATATATCTTGTACGCATTGTTTTCAGACCACCAAGCAATATCGTTGATGTTGTTGTGTGTAACAATATGGTTGCTATAGCACTGAGTAACAATGTGCTGATGAGACTGGATTTGACAAACCCTAGTGAAATAGATAGTAAGTGCCATGAATGAAGAAATGTACTTATTTAAGTTCAGGCTTATATACCATAAGGTCTTATGTACATTCACTTTTCATTGACTGTCAAGTTGACAGAAGATGAGAATAAAGTTGATGATTTGTTTTTTCTCTGTTTCTTTAACGGAGAGCAAATTACATGGCCTGGAATTATCTTTCTGCAAATTTTGTTTTTTCATGAGTAACAGTGTCTTAGTTTGCAGCAATGAACATTTTGCATGTGTCTGGTTGTACATGGTTGTGCTCTATGGTGAAAAATGGCTGATTGCTCTTTTGAGTTGTGAGATAGCTAATTTTCTGATAATTTACCTTAGGTGATAACCAATTTAAACTTGTTTATCAAATGATAAAACAGCCATTAATTAAACCAGGTCAAGGGAAGATATCGTGTTTTGTCAGTGACTTGCAGAATGATGTACCAGTGTTCTGTATTATTTGCCTCAAAGTTACTAAACCTTTGGCTTTGGTTACAATTGATCTACTTACCACCAAAAAATCATGCAAAATTGATCAGCACAGAGTAACAATTTTAAAGCATTAACTGAAGTTGAAACAACTAACATTAAATTCTCATGAGTAGCTGAAAAATGAAAAGTATGTTGTACTTCTTAGCTCTGGTAGTCTCAGAATTAACTTTTATAAATCAATATTTACGCAGGCGTTGATATCACCAAACGAATGGATGACTCTGTTCATAGAATCTTCATGGATCCAACTGCCAGACATCTTATTGTCTGCATGAAGTCTCAAGAGTCATTCTATTTGGCCAGGAATTCCAAGAAGCCCAAACCATTAGCAAAAATGAAGGTACTGTATGCCTGACTATTACAAAGTAGTAAATATGCCTATTAAGTATCAATAGGTAATGATGTTTCCCACGTTTTGGGGAATTCAGTTACCACAGCCATACAAAGAAAAAAATCTGTGATAAAATGAGCCACAATGACTGAGATAGTTTGTGAACAGGGGGGAAAAGTGAGAAGGGCTGGAAGATTCTCCTACCCTACCCTCTCTCCTTACAGGTGGTCTCACTCAAAGCCAGGTCCTTCATGGCCTTTCTGACTGACGCCTTTTGACAGGCTACAATTCATGCCACTAGTAATTACCTTTGAATGAACATAGGTGTGGTCTAATTGGTAAGAACTGCATCTGAAGGCAGTAGTTAGCCTGGAAAACTCAAATGAAGTGGCATAAAATTGGCTTGGGAGTGCTAAAATCTCAATACTTTCTACAAGGTGATGCAACCTGGCTAACACCATCGTGGGTGAAATGTTGAATTAAAATCATTTGTAGTTACATTAAAAGTAAATGCAGAACATTGCTTAGAGATATCCATCAGGCTTCAAATACACTATATTTTAAGTATAATGTAATTCAGACCAGTTTCTTAAGTTCTTGATATTTTTATGTGGTCTTTAGGGACATCTGATCAATGCCATTGCATGGAATAAATCAAAACTGACTGAGAGTTCTACACAGACAATTCTTCTGGGGACAACTAAAGGTTTGTTTTGTGGTGAACGTTTTTGCTAGCAAATTTCAGCAGTGTATTTAAAATGTATTTATGATTGAAAAAATAATAGACTGTGGTAGGATTATGTGTGAGTACTGTTTGGTGGTCCTATGTGTGTTGTACATAGATTAGACTTTTGGATCAACATCAGTATCTGGGCAACTGCCCACCTACCCCTCCCCAAGCCCAACAATAGTCAATTGATAACAAGCTAGGGTTAGTATTGGGTTAGAGGAGGGGTAGGTGGGTGGTTGCTAAGATACTGATATTGATCCAGACTTTTTATCATTTCTGTTCTTTTATTGTCTTAGTTGATTTCATCAATTACTGATTTCCATTTTTTGGCCAGGTGTTCTAAGTTTCTTTTTGATGGCATTTTTATAATAACTAAATATAGTCTCTCAGTAAATTGTGCTGTTAGTTTGGGAGTCACATGTTGTAGGAGTGGAGTATTTAGAGAATCTAGGAGTTTTCTTTTCTCATTAGCACCTGGAGCTAAGATTAATTTTTTTTTTTTTTACCATGAGTGAAATGGCAGCCACTCAGTTTAATAAAGTCATTTCAAATTGAATGAACAAAATCACTCTGGTTAACTGGCAAACTTCGCTGGCTCCACCGGTAACGAAACACTATGTGTCTGTTGCATGTACATTTTACATTTTCTTTTCAATTTTGTCAGGGCTGGTATTTGAAACAGAGTTAGAGCCAGAGGAGAAGTTCTTTCAAGGTGGTCTTGAGAAATTTTGGAAGCAAGTGAGTCAAACTGTGAAAAAAAGCTGTATTTCATTGTATCATTATAAAATATTTCAAATAGTATGCGCACTCTGATTGGCCATAAAACCATTTTACATGAGCGTATGTAAACACGGTTTTCGTTCCTCTTTCATTAGTTATTTTATAAAAGAAATGTAAAATGGTTTCTGTGTTTACATAGCCTGATGTAAACACTTGGGAGGTTGGGAGAACACTCAATAAGCTGGAAACCACTCCGCTTCGCGTTGTGGTTTCCTACGCTTATCACGTGTTCTCCCAACCTCTCGCGTGTTTACATCAGGCTATGTAAACACAGAAACTGTTTTACGTTTCTTCATTACATAGTATACAATCATATATTGTATACATATGTTGTGGTTCAATTTTATCCTTGGTTCAAATTTTCTTTTCTTATGTTTTTGGGTATTGTAATGTATGATTATGAGTTTGAAACAAAGGAAAATAAGATTTGAACCAAGGATAAAATTGAACCATAACATATACATACATATTATATAATTATTAAGAGAGAGATTTAAATCGTATTTTAAAAACGCAAAAACAATCTTGTTGTGTTTCAGTTGTACAATGTGAATTCAAGTGGTGGTCCAGAAGAGCCGATTTATGGAATCATGTTTGAGAAGTTTCCTGTGTCTCCAAAATCTGACAGGAAATACTTTGTTATGGTATCAACATTGAGGTACTACTGACATAGCCTTAATATGAGATCTTTTTGTTAAGACTTTTACAAGCTTGGCTTGCAATGTATCTCTATTTTCAGGGCTTGGAAATTTAAAGGAGAAAGGGAAACAATAATTGAAATTTTTCCATGGCTTAAACAGTGGTGCTCAGCTCCTGACAACTAAAATTGGTGGGATTTCAGATTTTCACTAGCCCTTATGTGGACTTTTTACTGGAAAATGGACACAAGCAAGTTCCAGGGTTCAACACAGTTGGCTTGCTATTTCTTAGCTCTCTGGGAAAACACATAGACGAACTTGCTAAAACATCAATTCATGACAGTATTTCCATCAACTTAAAGACTTGAGAAGCTGTTTATTTTTTATTAAATGACTTGAGCAAGTTGCGAATGATATTTAAAAAAAATTGATATCTGTTCTATATTTAGTAACACTTTGATTTCATTAGTGATGCCTCATAATATTCCATTTTCCTTTGCATACAGCCGCCTTTATCAGTTTATTGGTGATGTAACAGTTACAGACTCCCTGGATTTACAGCCATTGTTTGCAGAATATGAGAGCAACCCTGGTAATCATGATCCCTCCGCTACTTCGATAACCTTTAACCTTTTTTAATATTCCTGTTTTGAGGGAAGAAGGGAGGCTTTTAAATAAAACTTTTCCTGTCCTTTCTGTAAAGATCCCTTCCTCTCATCCTTCTACAATGCCATTCACCTCAAGGTTTTATTTCTTTCTAGCTCTGCTTATTTCTCTTCTTTCTCTTGTTTGTTTTGTTCATTCAGTCAGTAGTCAGTTATTTTTTATTTTTACGGGGCTAGTTTGTTCTTTTGTCCTACCATCTTTATTTTCTATCATCTGTTCTTCTCCCTGGTCCTCATTCACTTGTTTTATTGTTTGATTTTTTAGCACCTTTCCTTGAGATGCCAGGTCATTTGGATTCTAGTGAATTAGCTCTGTTTTACCCCAAGATTAGGGGTCTGCCAAATTCTTTTGCGTGGCTCACAGGTCTGTTCTCCTTACTTCCATTATTTTAGTGACATAGTGAATTTATTCCCCAACTTATGTACACACCAAATCCGTAAATTTCTTATTGGCCAGTCCTCTTGTTGGCCAGCTTGCTGGCAAGAGAGAGTTAGGCACTGAAAATCAAGAACTTTTTTGTTAAACAGCTGTGAATGGTCTTATAAGCAGCTGTGTTGTAAAGGAAACCCAAACAGGAGAGCCTGCTTTCAGGCAAACACACAGCAGTATGAGATCTTACAGATGGCTATTGACTGCCTGCAACCAACTTTTACTGAAACCCCTGATTATATTTCCATCTTCTAGGAAGTGGTGTTTACTTTGGTAAACTAGACTTTGGTCCCCCCGAGTCTTGGGATAATATCACAGCAGAAACAAGACTATTACAGTATCCTTTTAGAACAAATCAATTCACATAGTTACACTTAATGTGATTGTGAACATTCAAAGTATACATTTGTTAATTTAAAAAACAATTTTTCTCAACTCAACACAAGATATGGGTTTGAGGAAGGAAAGGAAACAACACCTCCTCTATCCATTGGACTGACAGGTTTCCATGCTCTTATGCTGCATAAAGACAAGTATGTAGTTTGTATTTGGACAACAATTTTGTAGGTGTAACTTGGAGAAGCATTTTTTGTTGTCTTGTTGTTCATGACCCAATTGACTTCAGAAAAACCACACGTCTCTCAAAGGGTTGTGGCCTTCAATTAGAAGATAGTTGTAGAGAAAATTTCATCAGAAACTGTTGACCTTAGATATTTTGGGCAATACTCCTGAAGCTGTTAAAACTTTGGTTGTCAAAGCAAGTATAGACAGTGTCAGTGGTAAAAAACTGGTCATGGAGCAACTTGTTGCATTTTTTGACAATTCCTAGTGTTTTAATATGGTCTGTCTTTGAAATTAAATTTAGATAGATATGTGCATAAAATATTGCATGAAATGGCACAATTCATGTATTTTCTTGTTCTTTTTTTTTTCTTTTGTTAATGTTTGAAGCTCAATTTGTCATTCTGACTAGCAAGACAGATGCACCTTTAATTGTCAATGCCATAGTCATGATTAGGTGAAATCTGTTTGGCTTTTTCACTAGGTTTCAGGCAGTATCACTTCTCAGTGAACAAGTTGTGTTTGAAGATCAGTTTCCACCTCGGGTTGGTATTAGATTTTTAATTTGGACCACAAGTGAAAGTGAGAGGATATATCAAAACGAATAACAGTTTTTAAAGTGACTTTTAGAGCTGTCAGTAAGAGCTGGTAGCTGGCTTCAACTATTGGCTTGTCTGCTATTATCAGGCAAGTACTTTCGCCTCATTTCTGTTGAAAAATCATATAATTATTGAAATACCATGAAAGAAATTTGTAGTGAAGCCAAATTTTCCAAATTTTTGGTGGAATTGAATGCACAATTTACGTGGTCAAAATTTGCTGGTTTGTGCAATGCACATTTTAACTGGAGTGAACAATTACTAGCCTGCAAAGTAGGCGGTTAATTTTGGCAAGTGAGTGCTCAGTGTTATCTTGGGGAAAATTAGAGTTGCCATCTGATTTTTACAGAAGCAGAATGCTAGGAAGGGAAAGAAATTTGTATCAGGGGGTGAGCAAGGGTCAAAAAGAAGGAGAGGGATCAGGGGGTGGGGCAATGGATAGATCTCACCTTTGCCAACCCCCTTCCCCCCACCATCCACTCTAACCCTAAATCAAATATGACCAGTTGAGTAAAAGATTGCAAGCTTCTTAAAGTCAACTCGCCCCCATAGGATGCCTGCACTGCAGGCTAAATGGCTCCTAGTCTTGCTTTTGATCTGTTGAAACAACATGGCATCCATAAATGATGACCTGGCTGCACACTATTTCTTATTTCCTCTTTACTTTCAAACTTATTGACAGCACTGCACCTTGTACCTGCACAAAAATTCATGAAATGCACACAGCTGCAATGTGACTGTGCCTGTTGATTATTTTTTTTTTAGTATGGTGCAATGAGAGGACTCTTTATTGATACAGTGAAGAAGACTTTGTGGATATTCTCAGATTCAGCAATTTTTCAGTATCATGTTACAAGAGAGAGCAGGTAACAATCACTTTCCCCAGTGACCATTTTTAACCATTATTGGTTAAAATGAAACTCAGACCACTCATTTAGCAGCAGTATTTTTAACCCCTTCACTCTTAAGAGTGACCAGTATCTAATTTCTCCTTACAATATCACCCCCTGAATCACACATGAAAGTCAAAAGATTGAAGGAAATGTTCACCAAATTAAAAAAACCCAAGAATGTTAAGACTAATTCTCCCTGTCAGCACCTTAGGAATTCTATAGAGACCAGTAAGGAGATTATACATACTGATGTTAGTGTAAATACAGTTTTAATACAACAATCTAAACACCTTCATCTTTTTTTGTAGGGATGTCTGGAAAATGTACCTTGAAAGGGGAGAATTTGAGTTGGCCAAGGAGTATTGCAGGGTAATGTTAAACATGGTTACTGTATTGGTGGTTCAAAATGGTTTTGTCTTTAGTGCTGATGCTATTTGTGAAAATTAGTGTTCCATGTCGGACAACTTGTAATTGGACATTCTGATAGGATAGCGATCTTGTCATGTATCCAGGCTGGAGAATACATTTAAAACTTTGCCCAGTGTTGTATTAAATGTGAAAGTATGTTACTTGATGAGGTTACTCCAATTTTTGGTACATGTTATGTTACTTTTTTTCTTTTTTTTTTTAATAAATTACAAATTACCTGCTTACAATTTTGACCTTGGATTCATTTTTGTTATATAACAAATTAAAAGTAAAATATTTTTTTATGTAGCTTATAAAGACAATACAAACGTAATTAGTTACTTTCGCCACCAGGATAATCCAGCAAATTTGGATAAAGTGTTAACTAAACAAGCTGAGGAACTATTTGAAAGCAAGAGGTATACACAGTTAATTTAAGGAACTTGCTTCTCCTTCTTGTTATTCAGCTGTAACAGTTCACCAAGGGAAATGCAGGCTAAACTTCAGAATACCCCGCAACTTTGGTCCGCCTCACTTACATGTGTCGGGAGGCTTTGAAGATCGAGGCATAACACAATAGACGCTATTCTTATTAAATGACATGTAAATGAGTTGCGGGGTATTCTGAAGTGTATTTCCGAAATGCAAATCGTATCAAGAAAAATCTTGACTTTACCCCATAAAATGGTATTTTCCAGACTCTGCATCAACTATCCACTGTGTATTTCTATAAGCGCATTTCTCCGTCTGCGGAACTAAAGATTTGATATGAGTCAAAGAGAGGTTTGCGAGAGGTCTGGCACTGATAATGACTGGTGCCAGACCCCTTGCAGAGCTCTCGCCGCGGGCTAAGAAGCGTTCTTGCCGAGGTGCCACTAACAACGACCTGCTCTGTCTTATGTGTTGAGTAATAATGTAAAGCTATTGTTTTCTTATTTGAATCGGGAAATATCTGAGTGACTGATGGACATATTATATATTTTTTACACTTTCCCTTGTGTCTTATTTAGTTACGCCAATGCTGCCAGATGCTATGCCCAAACTCAAGTATCATTTGAGGAGGTTGCCTTAAAGTTTATTCAAGTTGAGGAGAGCCAGGCACTCAGGATGTTTCTTTTAAAAAAGCTAGATAGTATGAAACACCAGGTAAATTAAATCAAATTACTGACAGAGTTCATTGCAGGTCTTGGTAGATAATTCAAGAGAAGTGAGTTTTGTATGGTAGCAGAATGGATGTAGTGCTTTTGATCAATTAAAAAGCTTCTACTAACAGAGGATACATGCTCTTTTTGCTAACAAATTGAAAAGGAACTGTAGCTACAGATACGGTAGTATGAAACTAACTGTTATGATACGTGGAACCAGAGTATAGATGCACCTCTGTAATAATTTTATGAAGGGTACAAGGTGTAACTGGAGGTTCCGCTTTTACCATTCGCCCCTCACATAATTTCAACTCGCTCCCTTACGGCAAAAAGTATGCTGTTGAAACCGCAATATATTTCGAGAAGAGAGAGATGTGGATATTAGAAAGGTTTTTCCTTTTTTGTCTTTTAAACAGTATTTCGTTTTTTTTTTTAAATTTTGTGTTTGGTTTTGTTTTGAAGGACAAGACACAAATGACTATGCTGATAATGTGGCTGATCGAATTGTATTTGAACGACTTGGGAGGTTTAAAGGAAGAAAACGCTAAACTAAAGTACGAAGGCTTACAGGAAGAATTCAGGAAGTTCCTTGCTCAAACCAAAGTAAAGGTGGGTGAAAAGAGCATCTGAGCCGATTAAAGCAAACTGTGGCTTGTATGGTAAACCTCACATACGAGACTCTTCATCAAAATAACTCACCTTTTTCTAAACCGACTGAAACCGATCTTATTCGACAAGCTTTAGGTGGCTACCGAAGCGAATGCCCCCCCCCCCCCCCCCCTCCCCCCGAAAGAAAAACAAAAACAAAAAAAACAAGCTGGGCCGTCAAGCTATGAAATCCAGCGGTAATTCTTCTCTTAGATGAATGATAATTCAGTGTGGACTATTCCCCTCCTAAGTATTTGATCAGGTTTCTCTGGTGGTCCTCTGGTTGGTCAATGCATGTATGTACCAATGGGTGTTATAAGGCACTGCGAGAGTAGAGCATCTTAAGGATATCATGATTCTGGCAGGCCAGAGTTCAACCGCGGACCTGCTGATCCTGATTCTACTGTATCCTTTACAGTGGCCACTCTGGGAAATAATCAAAATACAGATACATTAAAACTTGTAAATCGAGTTATAATCAATTTCAATGATTTATTTCAGACATGTCTCGATCAAAACAGGAAGACAGCCTATGATTTGATCTCTAGTCATGGAGATGTAGAGAACTTAATATTTTTTGCCATGTTTATGCAAGGTACGTCTTTCTAGATTTAAACTGAAAAGTTACGGCGGCTGCAACTGATATTTAACGATTCCCATTAATAGGGAAATTTTACAAGAAAGCAATAAAATGTTGATTAAAAGTTTTCACCAATTGTAAATTTTTTATTTTTGTTGTAGATTTTGAGCATGTTATCAGTCATCATATTCAGCATGATGACTTTATGGCTGCATTGGATGTCCTCACTAAACAGGTTGGAAAACTGCTCTGTGGTCCACAAGAATTTTACCTAGATCCTTTGTTTAAAAAGATGCTATCCTAAACATGCATTGTAGACGTCTTAGAAGGGAGCGCGAGTTGGTGTCAGATCGATGTTTGGTCTCGCGCTTAGCTCATTAGAAGAAAACATGTTTTCTTTCTCCAATCGCTACCTCCTCGTTATAGAATATGAGATGTGACCGCAAATATGGCGGTAAAAAACTGAATTTCTTCACGAAAATTACACACATACTCCTTAAGCTACTCGTATGTTATATTTTACTGCACATGCAACTTTACGAGATTAGGCTGAAGGTTCTACATGTATTCGTAAACAGACAGACATTTTTGATACTTTTTTGTTTCTCTAGACAGATACGGAGCTTTATTACAAGTTCTCTCCTGTGCTAATGCAGCACATTCCGCGGCAAACGGTAAATGCCTGGACTGAACAGAAAAAGAAGAAGCTGGATCCACGCCGACTGATTCCTGCGCTGGTTCACTATCACCAACAAGGGAAGTCAACTCAGGTATGAATTGAATGCATTATTGAAGCCCACCACACTCGGTGAAGCACCACAACCACGATTTCACCGCGGCTGACCCCAAGTCTAAGGAGCGTTACGAGTGTCAGCCTTTCGTCAAAGCGAATGATTCGCTCTGACGAAGGGCTAACGTCAGCTTTAGATAGTTTTCACGGGAGCCAACTTACGTCATTATCTCAGCTGATAAAACCAGATTATTTATCGACGCAGCACCACAGCTCCTTTAGAAACTTACCCTGTCTAGATTTATGATGTTTGTTCACCCCGTTGATTTTGACACAGACCGAGGAGGCCATCCGCTACTTGGAGTTCTGCATAGAGAGACTCGGAAACAGAGACCAGGCCATTCACAATTATTTGCTGTCGTTATACATTGAACAAGAAGATGATGAGTCATTATTACGATACCTGCAAATGCAAGGACAGGTTTGATACTAAAAGGCTCGGCAAGAAAATTCCTTACGGTTTTTCTGCTCATTTTACACCTGCTCAGAATTAGCTGCAGTCTTTGTCATTTGTACGGATTAAAAAAGTTTCACATGCATTTTACCCCTCACCATCTCTGTGAAATACTAACTGAACACTTTCATATAGCAGCGTACTCTGAGCCAACACTGTTCGTTTTGCAACTAGTTCATTGATTTTGGTTATGTTTTGTTTGTTTTTATGCTTTGTTTAACCAAATGTGCTGAAAGGATATGTTTTTTAGCTGATGCTTAGGCGTTGTTTCATGATGCAGATTTAATTGCTTTTTTTTTTCAAACAAATGCATCGTATATGCCAAAACCTAAGGACAAGCTAGTACCACTAATTACAGTGAGGAACGCGACTTCCTGAGGAAACTCCATTTTTTCCGAGGTTATCTGCAGAAAACGAAATGAATCAAAGGATAAACAAATTTATTAGTAGACAAATGAGACTTGAGAATTTTCACTGTTTCCTTGTAAATGTAAGCCATATTCCATGAATTAATGACCTGAAAAACCAAGGAGTCTTTTATCGCCGAGATTTTGTAACAATTACTATCGTCTTTTCTTCCCTTGTTCGTTGTTGCTTTTGTTTTTCTTCGATTCCACCATACCCATGTGTAACGATCCCTGTCTCTTTAGGATCCAGAAGAAGTTTGTTATGACATGAAGTACGCCTTGAGACTGTGTTCAGAACATGACAAACAGAAAGCCTGTGTTCACATCTACAGTACCATGGGACTCTTTGAAGAAGCGGTTGATTTGTCTTTAAAGGTAATTAGAATCCAACCATATTTTACGCTAACTCTATACAAGACGCTTAAACCCTTTGCCCTCACGAGTGACTAGCATCTAGCATCTAATTTCTCCTTAAATACAATATTTACCTCCTGAATCAAACATCAATGGTCACGAGAATAAAGGAAATGACTCCCAAGTTTAGAAGCCCTTGATTGTTAAACAACCTCTCCTTGTAAGCACCAGAGGAATTGTTTAGAGATGAGTAAGGAGAATATACGAATTGATGTTGTGTACTTTGTGAACGAACTTGGTGTATGACGACCTTTTTTGGGCTCACACTGTTATGCTAAATGTATTTTTTAAAGGTCGATGTAGATCTTGCCAAGATTCAAGCCCAGAAGCCCCCGGAGGACGACGAAGTGTTGAGGAAAAAACTCTGGCTCAGAATTGCGCGACATGTGGTGGAAGAAGAAGGAGATGTGAAAAAGTAAATATACAGCGCATCACCTGTTAACTGAGTACTGCTAGATGGCTTGAATTTTAACATCTTCTACCAAACTTCAATGATCTAACGTTTGAATTTTTACGAGGGGAAAAGCACCTATACTTTTATATTTTTTTTCTGTTCATGCTTGAATGTTTATACTTCTAAAGAGAAATATCGATTACTCTTGTTAGCATAGAGCTGTTCTCAACTGAGCATCGAACGTATTCAAGTACTGTATATTATTACCTCAGCAATGTGATGAAGTATTTAAGTTGTTTGAATCGTAAAAACTGATGTTTTATCTGTGATTGCCATTCTCACATCAATGTTGTTGTTGTTTTGTTTTTGTAGGGCAATGGAGTTTTTGAACCAAAGTGAACTTCTAAAAATTGAAGATATCCTTCCATTTTTCCAGGATTTTGTTACCATTGATCATTTCAAGGTAATATTTCTTTATTTTACTTAAAATGCGCAAAATAACACTTGGAAAAAACATTTTCCCTTTCTTCGATTTTCTTTGGTCAAACAATGGTAATGTAGTTCACATACTTGAAATTTGTTTTTCATTTTAGGATGCTATTTGCTCGTCACTTCATGAATACAATCAACACATTGAAGAACTAAAAAGCGAAATGCAAGTAAGTGAGAGAATTATTCTTGTTAACTGGTTAAGCGCCTACTCTCAAAGTCTCATGTAACTGTTTCAACCACAACAAAGCACGATGCAGCACATCTTCTGCCTTTCGTTCATCTAAACCTTTTATCTCCCCAGAATAGCATGCCGGGACAATGGGGGTTATTTATGTTATTCTGAATGCGCACTTCTCAGTGAAAAGGTTTCATATTTAATTTCTTTTATTAGGAAGCTACAGAAAGTGCCAAAACGATACGAGGAGACATCCATGAAATGAGAAATAAGTGAGTTAAATTAACGTAGTGCATTAAGTAGCCCTAAAAATGTTACAGGGGTTTTTAATCTATTAACTTTGCCATTAGCGGATGCCGCTGGTAAAATGGGCGGCTGTGTCCAAAAAGTGGCCATAAGGCGAAACCCAAGCACGAGAGCCTGCTCGATGGTAGTAAGAGGTCTTAACCCTTTAACCCTTAAGAGTGATTGGCATCTAATTTCTCCTTACAAGATCACCCCTGAATAAAGCATTAAGGTCATGAGAATAAGGGAAATGATCAACAACTTAAGAAGCTCTTGATTGTTAAACAAATTCTTCTTTTCAGAACCTTAAGAAAGGTATCGAGAAAGTATGGAGAATATGCATACTGATGTTAAGATGTAAAGGGTTAAAGGCGGCAATAGACTGCTGGTAACCGACCTGTGTCGAAACCTCTATTTAGGAAAGAAGTTAGTTATTTGGTGATCATTGTCATGGGCTAAGAAAGAAGTAACCAAGCAAGCTTAATCGGAGAGCTGTTTTCTTTATACCAAAACGCTACCCCCAAGGAATTGGATTTCTTGCCGGGAAATTCGTCCTGTTTCTGCTGTCTTCAAGGCGTGCAGTTTCATTTCGTTGGGCCACCATTGTTCTGAAATCACTCGTGAATTTAATTTTTCCTCCGTGTAAACTGCATTTCCTTAAATTGATGTCTGTATTACGTCAATGTTCCGGGGCTTTGTTCTGTTAATAATCCATACTCATTGCAGCTTCAAGGTCGTATTGCCATTGATGTAGTTTCTAACCCATTTTTTTCATTCTTTTTCGCTGGACATTTCAGATACAGGGTTGTACCAGCTCAAGAGAAGTGTTCGATATGCCTATATCCACTGCTTACAAGAGGCTTCTATGTGTTTCCCTGTCATCATTCCTTCCATTCAGATTGTCTCAAGAATGAGGTGTGCACTTGATCTTACAATGCTTACTTTAGGGCAATTTTCAATTGAGTGTCGAATGTAGTCCGGATTGCCTTGGCTTTGCTTTACTCCGTCAACGATTGGTTCAGAAAACCAGCGCGATGCTCTAAACCAATCAGATGCCAAACGAAAACCGATCGTGATTTGGTCGCCCGCGTTTTCCCGCACTTTTGGTTTTTTTTTTTTTGTTTTTACCTTGAGTCTTCATTGGCCAATGATAACGTAAATATTTGATTGACTATTGTGATTACTTTGGGTTTCGTTTTTCAGTATTGCACATTTATTGTTAATATAAATTTGTCCCTGTTAATTCTGAGGAAACATTGTTGACTAATTCATCGTGTGGCGAACCAGACATTCACCCTATGTTAGGGAATTGACCAGATTTGTAGATGCAACAATTTGACACAACATAAATATAGCAATCAACATTACTTGCCCTTTGATGTTATCATTTATTTTGTGTTAATGATTCTATCTGACTTTCACCTCTTGTTGCAGATTTTACCACATCTTAAAGAAAAACAGAGGTACGACAATTTTAGCTCACAAGACATATGTAAAACTAAATTATAGTTCGTCCCATAGTTAGTTCCTAACCCCCTACCGATTCTAAAACGCTCAGTAACGTGTTGAGGGTTCTCTTTCTTCCCGTGGAGCTCCTTGATAAGAAGCACATGCGCACAGAATGGTCGCAAGGGGATTATAGCAGGCATCAATTGACGTCAGTATTTTCAAAATGCACTGTTTTTGAGTTATTCACAGAATACCTCAAAGGAGGTGTTTTGAAATTTCTCCTCTTTGGGAAAAGCCTGTTTGATATGGAGAGCAGGCCAAACTGGAGAATAAATGATAAATTTACTGATATATTCAGATTAGAGAATGATCGAGGTAAACTTAAAATGTTATCAAAGAGCAAGTATATTTGTCGCCACCTAATCCAGGACTTTCTCGTTAAGTTAAAGATAAATGTCTACTTATCTTTCAGGGCTAAGGTTCAAGACCTATTTAACCAGCTCTACGCGACGTCAAGAACTGATTCATCCTCGGTTTCATCAACCTCACGAGAAACTCTCAAGGTATTTTGAAATTGTGAGAGTCATTGTAAAGAACTTGGTCCGGTTTGCTACTGTCAGGTCATCGAGGAAAGTGCGTGCACTATCATTAGAACGCCTTGCAATCAGTGAGTTATATAGTCCAGCAAGGGCGCTTACCCTTTCGCTTACAAGATCTCAAAGGAAATTTACATTTTGCCTTTCTATAAATCAGAATACTCTTAATTACTCTTAATTACTCTTTTTGGCGATGGTGTGGGGAGGGGAGTCTTTCCTATAAAATAAAGTAACACCCTGTTAGGCTAGGCTACATCTCCCCTCAATTCCCTTAGCTGCTCTGCATGACATTGGTAATGGTTTAAAAGGAAATAACTTGTTGGTCTCCCTTGGGATAAAATGTTGACTCAAGTGTTAACCAGTAGTACGAAACTCACTGAAACATAGCAAGTTACCGCTGCATGGCGTTGGAAAACTCGTTGCTGGTTGTGGCGTTAATGTGATATCGTTGTTAGTAGTACAAGTACCACCAAATACTAAAATTAAAAGCAAAAGAAAGAGAAAAAACAGACAAATCAACTAAACCGAACAAAACAGACCAACAAAACTTTGTGTTTCAGGAGAACATAATAGATTATACTTGCTCTGGTACCTCGAAGGCTTGAAATCGTAGAAAATTGCCGTTTGATATACTCATTTTTCTTAGAATGAGCTGGATGAACTGATCGCATCAGAATGTCCTTTCTGTGGGGAAATTATGATCAGGTAGGAACATTATATAACTCCCAATTACAACAATGGAAGATATCACGAGGAGCAATTAAAAACTCGGATTAATGGCAAGCAAATTTCCCAAGCGCGGGAAGACGCGTGACCTAGTCGCAACTGGTTTCAGTTTTGAATTTGATTGGTTGACCTTGTGGCGCGAGTCATGTGGACCAATCATATAACGATTTAAAGCAAATCCAAAGCAGTCCTAATAGCGCTTGATTTTGGTGATGCTGTATCTTAACTGAGTAATTCGTTGCAAGGTAGACCTGCTTATTCAGTTTAGCGAGAAATCAAACCACGCAGGTAATGTGTCACAGCAAGAAATACAGGGTCTGATTATTTAAACGAAGCTAAGTTGATGTTCGACAGAATCACCTTCTAGACTTTCTTCAATTCAGCTAAACGTTTCATTTGAACGTTTATTGTAGTAAGCCAGGTTTAACACGGTATAAAAACCATTTATTTTCTTCAAACAACCTAGTTATAAAGGTATCTCAAGGTTTGAAAACCGCGCATATCTAAAAGCGGAGTTCACGTTACTGTTTGAACTTCGCGACAGCAAATGCAGTCATTTTCAATCGAGTGTCGAATTTTTCGGGACTACCTTGATTTTGCGTTACGTCTATCTGTGATTGGTTTAGAAAACCCACGCCATCCTTTCGGCCAATTAGATGCAAAACGAAAACCATTTGTGAATTGGTCAGCCGCGTTTTCCCGCGCTTTTTGAGGTTTTTTATTTGAATTTTTACTGGCTGATGACGACGGTAACCTTTGTTCTGATTGGTTCTTGTGATAATGTCGCTTATGCTTACCTCCATTGAAACTCCTACAACACTGACTTTCATTCTCTTATTGTCTTCATCAGATCTGTAGATCAACCCTTTATCTCACCAGACGAATATGAAAGTGTATTGGAAAGCTGGCAGTGATTTTTAACCATAGAATTATTTATGGCATATCTTCTTTAAGAGCAGAATTTATTTCATCCAACCTCCTTACCCGCTGTTATCACATTTGCTTGGCTGACATATCATTGTGTGAAATAAAGACATGGCAGCGCGAGAAATCGTACCCCAGCTGGTTGGTGCTTTTGAACTAAGCTCTCAGCCATGCACGGTGTTGACATCGACTTGTAAGAACCTTTGTCAAAGCTTCGAGATGCTATTGCTCAACACTCCCTTTCTTGAGTACGGCGTGGATAAGATTATAGTAATTTGAATCAGATGAAAACGAATTTAGTCAAAGACAAGAGTTTTGTAATACAATTTAGACAAAATAAAAATTAATTTCTAAGAAAGAATAAGCATGCAATGCAATGTTTTGATTGCTGCTCAGACCTACTTTCGTTTTGAAACAAGAATGTTGCCCATCACCCCCTCAACTCCAAGCCCATTCATTCCTTCGCCCCACCCCGGGAAATCTACAGTTTTAAGAATGCTCTCAATGCCCCATACTGAAGCAAAACTCATTGACCCTTAAGAGTGACCAGCATCTAATTTCTCCTTACATTATCACCCCTGAATCATATATTGGTCACGAGAATAAAGGAAATGATCACCAACTAAAGAAGTTCTTGAATCTTAAACTAGAGGAATACAAGTAGTTCTTAATCAAATTCTATACAAGACTCTTCAACCATTTAACCCCTTTGAGTGACTAGCATCTACTTTCTGAATCAAACATCAATGTCATGAGATTAAAGGAAATGATCATCAAAGAAGCCCTTGATTTTAAAACTAATTCTCCTTGTCATGTCCTTGGGAAATGTATGAAGAACAGTATGGAGAATTTAAGTACTGATGTTAGAGTGTAAAGGGTTAAGTGAGTGTTGATCAGAAAGGTCGGATTTTGTTGGAATGTTAAAAGTCTGATGTGTGGGGAAACAACAGATGAAACTGTTATTTGTATGTTTGATAGAAAAATTGCAACAGATTTTTCCAACTGATTTATTTTAATTAAATAATGAAAGTTAATTAATGACAGAGAGGTAACTGTACACCGCAACTAGCATAACTAATCTAGGCAGTGTAGAGTTTATATATAAATACAACTTAAAATTATAATAAATATGGGAAACATGAACATGTATATCTGCTAGAAAATTAATACAAAAAGAGAGGAAAAGATCATTACATACAAAAGAAAGGAATTAACTAAGATCAATTACTTAGCTTTCTTGGCTTTCTTGGTCACTATAATATATCATACACTGCCATAACAATTTTTGATTGATCACCTTTCAAGTTTTAGCTCAAGTCAAGTTCTGATGATGATATCTAATCACCACATGTTATGCTTTAATTATTTTTCTTTAAGGGGGGAAAGCTATGGTTGGGGGAACTTCTTAGGGAGGGGGACCTCTCTTGAGAAAGGCTGTAGTTAAGAGGGGGAACTTACAGTAACAAACACTACCTTGTCCTGAATCTTACACATACTGTCATGTGTTATAAATTTTTCTTCAAGTATGGCCACTTAAGCGTGTAAAATGTTTCTACATCAAACTGAAGTGAGGTTAGTGACTTACAGCCACACAATTTTCTTAGTCAACCCCTTTCCTTCATGTTGTGACCTAAAAATGAAGATCACATCTTCCAAAGGCAAGATATATCTGATTAGATGTAGTTCTTCAAAGTCCTTCTTCCATGTCATGGACAAGTTTCAAATTTTCATCATTTCTTGACAGGACGGAGAGTCTTACAGCAGCAATACCTGCCACAGCCAACAATAATGAACAAAGGGCAAATATTGCAGATATACCATGACTGCTATGAGTGTCATGAAGTACCATCAAAACAATTGCGGCAATAGCATTCAGCGGTACTCTGAACCAGTTTATAATACCAGCATGATGGGCCTCAGGTAGAATCCTTTGTCTCAACCAACCCATTGCTGGGAAGTACAGCCCACAAGCTAGTTCCAAGATAATAAACAGAATAAATGATGTACTCGGATGCAAGGCATTGGAAAAAACTGCACCAATATTTGCCCCAGATGCTACAATAATAGTTAAAATCACAACATTGGCTGGGTTTATACCTAGTTTGACGGTAAAATTGAACAGAAAGCCACCTAGAGTAACACACAACATGAAACATGAAAAGATGATTCCCAGAGGAGGATACAAATGCCCTCTGTCCAAAACAGGAGTCCACAAAAAAACAAATATGTACATGGCACTCTCAAAAAGTGAGGTAACAATGCCAATAGACATGACTTTGTTGTTTGTTATAATATGTCGTAGGCTCTCAATACATGGTTGAATAACTTTGTTATTCTTTCCACCATAGTTTTCATCCCAAGTAAATTGGATCAAAATCCCAGTTGCAATAAGAAATGGTATGGCAAGGACAAATGGGGCCACTGGTCCAAAAGGCATCCATTCAGCTACGGTGTTGGCTAAAATCCCAGCTACTACTGAGATGATGCTGTTGTAGAGTGTTGCTTTGGCAAATGTTGCAGAAACCCACTCACTAGGAAAATTATGGGTCTGTGTGTGTTCATACAAATACCATGCATCAAAAGCTGTGAATAACAAGGAAGTAGAGATTCCACCCAAAATTCTTCCAAGGATTAGAATACCATAGTTTCTTGACAGCTTCGTCAGGCAGCACAATGAGTACAGTAATGTGAAAACTACACAAGCCTTTTTACGGCCAAACACACTTGCAAAGTATCCACTAGAAGTTCCAAACACAACACTTGAGGCAAAGCCACACACATAAATTATGGCAATTTGCGTGTCAATGAAGCCGTAGTGACTGTAGAGTTTGTAAAGGTACGGTCCCTGGAGCCATTCAGCCATTAGTGCTAGGAAGTAAACTCTGAAGTAGCTGTTTTGGAATGAGACAAAGTTGGGGTTCACTATCATCGTGTCATCCCTTTGACCTGTTTTGCACCAAAAGTGAAAAATACCACAAAGTGCGGAAAGAACACCAAACGAGATGTATGCAATCACAAGCATATTTCTGTGGATCACAAATTTCTTTCTTGAAGGTTTCTGCAAAGAAAAAGAACATATATAGGTCTAACAATGCATTTTTAAATAAACTTGAACACTCAAAAGTCTCTCATAAAAATATCAAGTAAGGGACAGACTAATAGCAAAGTAAGAGGAGAAAATCAAGCAAGCAAAGATGCCCTAAAAATTTAACTGGACCAGACCTGAAGAAATTATATCAGTATGAATGCATCTAAAAATCATGAACTCTGTGCTAAAGCAAAGGAAACAATTTAAATTTTGCAACTGATTGTGAGTTAAATTCGGTGAAACAACAGACCTTTCCTGAGCAAAGACCTTGCAATATCATTTAAGGTATTCTTTACATCAGTAAAAGTGAAATGTCTGGAAAAGAACCTTGGCATAGAATAATGAGGGCAGACAGAGCTAAAATCAGAGAGAAGTGGAGAGGAACAGAATACTTGCCATTGGGGCTTTGATGCAATTTATAATAACTTTCTAAACAGTAGCCCATCCTCGGAGACCCAGGGGCTGTGAGTCGATTTCAGGTCAAGTCGGGCTCTTCCACCCTGACTCAATGATGTATGGGGAAAGGAGCTTATTAGAAACTTGAAAATCTAAACAAGGAGCTTTGTAGAGGGGAGGTTGGTGGAGATCATCGGTATGTTACATTTTTAACATTGATCAGATCGATGCTATATTGTCGTGATTATTCCCTGAATCGAAAAGTACACGTATCATTTAAGATAATTATGCTACACTGTAATGAGAGTTATGTATTCGATCGAACATTGATTTTGAAAGGATGTTTGCGTTGCCGAACTCTGAGTGATTGAGTATCTTTCTTTACAAAATTGCTTCTCAGTAGCTCAGCTTAGTTGACCGAAGGGACAGAGGAAATGAAATTTCTGTCATGTACAAAAAAAAAACGGTTAAAAATTGATTTCTCTTCAGGCCACATGCCACGTCAAGCTTACAGCCAGAACAACAACAATGTATAGATAAAAGAATCAAAAGAACGAGTGTACCTTTGCCTTGGCTGTGTTGTTTTAGAAAATTGCTGTAGGGTTAGGAAATACTTTTAAAGAGCATAGGATCTATGCCACGTTGAAAACTTGTGCAATTATAACGTTCGCCGACAGCCGTTGTTCCATCCCCAGCCGACTTCTATGCCATAACTTTCTGAGCCTGCTTACGAGCTTCGACTTCCGAAAATTAGTCGCGAGCTAGCCGGAAGTCACGATAGTAAATTCGTCGAGACTTCGGAAACGTCATCTCCGGTACTTTCCTTGAGACGAGGTCGACTTCCGGTGGTGGCGAAGTAAACAAAACCATTACCTCGTGACGAGAACAAAAACTTGTCGAGACGAAATCGTAGGTGGCGCGCAATTTTATTTTTCCTATGTCAACATCGTGAGAAAGTTATGGCTGTGTTTTTAGACGAAATTCTTCTTCATATATTTGGATATCTTAATGGACCGACTCTGACGAAGTGCTCGTGGGTTTGTAAGCAGTGGAGGAGCATCGCTAAAACTCCGTCGCTTTGGCGAAGACTTGTACTATTGCGGTGGCCATCGCAGAAGTTTCTGTACGAGAAAGTGTCTCTATCGTGCGTCAATTGGATGAACACTTATCAAGAGTTGTCTCTAAGGGGAAACTATACAGCCGATTATATGAAATATTTCATCTGCTGTTGTGTTAGCGGTGATGAGTTGACCGAGATTGAATTGCGTGAAAGTATGTTCTTGCACATGGCGGGAACCATGATGAAGTGGGAAGTTCCGGATGTTTTTGAGCAGGAGGACGAGTTCAACACGTCAGGTTTCAATAAGAACTTTGAATTATTCTTTGACACTCACGATCTCAAGTGGACTTTCATCGACAAGCGAAGGGGATACAATGAGGACTGGTTTAGTGGCAAAATGAAAGCTTCGACAAAACCAGCACGCTACATCCGACCGTATCAAGTTATCCCTAGTTGCATGGTTATGTTTCGTTGGCTTTGTCTATTTCGTGCCTATGCGACGGAGGAAACCGGGTTAACTTTTTATCGCATATGGAGATACCGGCTGAAGCACAGGGAGACAGGGGTTCATTTCGAAGTTTTCGATTGGAAAGCTGCTATGTCGTGTACCTTGTCCAACGGCAGTCCAACATCAGTAGCCTTCAGAGAAGATGCTCTCGAACTTCTTACCCTACTCACCCACCCTCATTTTCTGATGCATCCTATGGGGGTGAGTACGTTCAAGGAGTTGTTCCTGTCCCCTCCGAAACTTCTCAGTAGTAGATGTAACTCTGCAACATCATCACTATCTAGCTGTGGGTTATCTAGCCCAAGATCGCCATTGAGAAGCATCAGTAATCAATTTTCTTTTGAGAGAAAGGACACTAAGGCTAGACGTATAATTGCAAGTAGCACCACTGACAGTGATGATGAATCAGAAGGAGGCTTTGACACTGGTTATGTCAGTAACTGTGAATACTTCATTAGCAGCAATCACTGGGATATTGAGGAACAGCACAAAATTCAAGCAGAAGTGGCTGGGATGTGGACAGTAGTAAATAACAATTATGTCCCCCATTTGTTTGTAAACTATGATGTAAACAATAATATGTGGGTGTTTCATGACTGTATGCCTACCTTCCCCGAACTCTGGATTCAGGGGGGTGTCACATTTGATGCAAATTATGACTCACTACGTGGTCACGGATTTGGAGTTGAACCCATTCCAAGCTGTCTTGCCTTGTATCGTTTGGTTTGCCTGATGAATATAAATGCTCGTGTTTATGTCAGTATGGAGGATGCATCAATCTGGGCACTTCACTTAATCCACAACACCACAAGAGCCGTGCTTCATCTCAAAGATCTCAATGGTAAGATTTCAATTCTTTGTATTTTTAGAAAATTGTGTAGATCTGATATGCATGAAATATAAATATTGCCAATTTGACTATTGGTGTGATTAAAGATTTATTTGATCATTCTTAACTCCTTTAGCAGATGTTTCCTATTATTTAGCTTTCTTGATTCCATTGTTTTTATATTTGTTTTATTAAATGTTTTGTCTTGGGAAAAAAGGAAGATCAATTTTAATAGGATTTAATATCAGTAGAAAATTGAGGTGAGTCAAATTTACCTCTGGTTTTAGTTAAATCTCTCATTGGAAAGGAGAATTCAAATTTCATGCTTGTCAATCTTTGCATGATCTGAAACATGTCTCCTGTCTTAAATCTGATTGAAGTATCAGACATAATTAAAAGTAATTTCCATAATACCACAAAGAAACTTATTCCTTCAAGCATGACCACTTTCATGAAATAATAAGCTGTAATTTGCCGTTTTGTGAAAAACCTAGCCATTGAAGTCTCTAGAGAACATATTTGGTGGGAATGTTACCTGTAATTTCCATATCTTTCCTTACAAATCTGCTGAATCTATTTTCTTTTTCTAATTTTGGCATAAGAGGATGTGGGAATAATTAACATCTCTGGATTAAATACTTGAATAGGACATGAGATTGCTGAAGATAAGGGGATAAAGTCATTTTAGGAAGAATGCGCTGTGCCTTAGATTTTAAAACAATTACTTACAGATTATTTCTTGCTTGCATCATTAAATCTCTTTTGTTTGACAAGTAATATCCTTATATTTGGTTTAAATTAAAAAAAGATGTAGAAGGTTTTCTGCATGAATGATTTTCCTTCTAGAATGAAATTATGATCAAAGGTTGTCTCACCATTTTGGCTGTGGGCAACATGTGGTGAGCATTTTGTTATCATATGATCAACACAAGGTGCTAAATATAAAAGAATCTGATCAATTAGGACCACAAAAATGCAATGTGATATTAATACATGCTTCCGCAGGGGCTCACATATCCTTTGTGGTTTCCAACTGAGTATTTAACAGGATATAAAAATGTTTTTGTTTTTTTTTTACTAAAGCCATGTGTTGCCTTCAATGTGTGTGTCATCAGGCAAGCTCACTGGCCCCAGGTGAATCAATTGAAGCCTTTAAGTTAAGGTTCATGCAGGAATTGGGGTCACAGTTTAGAAAAAAATATTTCATAGATTCCAGTTAGGTTATCAAATTAAAAAAGAACTGGGCTTTTCTAGATTACCAAGCTTAAGTTAAGCACAGCCTAAAAGTTTGTTACTATAAACCTTGAAAAGAACTGCCTAATTCTGTTTTTGTTGTGGATTTGTATGTGCTCTGATCTCCCTTACAATTTTAACCAAAGATTGCTTAAGTAGTTTAGTACTACTGAAACTCTAAGAATTAGATTTCAAAGTGCATACTTGTACAAAAGCCAAATGCTGATCTTAAAACTGAAACTAAAGTAATATTACTTTTATTCATTCACATGTAACAGCTTAATACATAACAAATTAACTTTAAATAATTTGATGATACCAATTTGTTACTATTTGGAATATCAGTCTGGTGAATATAACTTTATTGAAAATGCATGTCACAGGAGTGGTGTAGTAACACAATCTTGTTATTGTGTAAAATATTTGTAAAATGTGAAAATAGGGCTTAGGGCAGTTTTTAATGTGTTTACCAATAATCTGCTTGTCATGCAATGCTTGGCTTTGTTTCAAAAATGCTATGTCTCCATTATTTTGGCATGCAACAATTTGCATTTTCTCCTACTGTGAGCATATCAACACTTTTTAAACCACTCAGGGCAAGAGAATAACAAAGCTTAATTTGAAATAAGCAGTGATATACATGTTTTATATTCAATTTGATACTACATTCCTAACACAAAATTCTTAGAAATAACCCATTGTAAAGACCTGAATTCCCTCAGTTACATGTAATAATACCTTAAGTTTCTACAACCTCTTTCTATCTTTACTTTTGGAGGGTGACTACTTTATAAAATAAATGAAATTTGAGGTGTAATTTTACAAGTTAGTTTGAAGTTGGTACAAATTCATGATTTAAATTTGTACAATTTACATCAATATCACTATACCCCTAAGCTCAAATCTGTTACCCTTCCTTTTAGCTGTCATCACATGTTTTGTTGATTTGTGAATTGTTTTTAAATTATAATTAATTATATATAATTATATAATAATTTTTCTATAAATGAAGATACCACCTCCTAACTGATTTGATGATTAAATCTTATCTCCTTGTTGTTGAACAAATAGAATTAACGTGTTGATAATTATTGTATTTTTGTTATATATTTATTTAATTTGTAATTAATGATTATGTAAATCATAATTAAATCTTCTGATAACAACAGACTTTTAGAGATTTGCATTTAATTTTAAAAAAAAACTTTTTTCTGAGGTGAATAACCAAAAAGAATGTGGGAAATGTTGTTGTTTTAATCAAAAGGGTTACTGTGCTCTAAGACAAGGTTTTTGTCTTTGTTTAAAAAAAACATTGTCAATCATATACACGAGGCTGCCCAGTTTTCCATAAAAAATAACTTTTTGAGATTGAAAGTTATTCCAACTGATCTTAGATTCAAAATAAAGACATGATTTCCTTGTTCAAAAATGGTTACCATCACAACAATGTAGGTTTAATTTGAATCAAATACTTACTGTGTTCTTAAGAAGACAATCCAGAGTCTATTTTTTTTCTTTTCTTCCATTCAATTCTAGGCTGGTTTGATGCTTCAGTCACCTTAACTGAAGATATGCAAAACCAGCTCAGGGAAGCCTCAGACAGAAACACAGAGTTAGAAACAGTGCAGTGGTGTGAGGTCTCTACCCCTGTACCAGCTCCTGACAACATCAGTGAGTATGTTGCCAGTGATGAAGAAAGTGATGATGATCTTGATGGCCAAGAAGCAGAGGATTTCTATTGTGTGACACCAACACATTCTGATGAAGAGAGGAGCAGTGTCAGCTCAGCAGGTAGTGAGGTTGATTCTGATGACCTTGAAGATCAGCTTTGGTTTTCAGGAATGCATCCACAGTTTATAGGAGAAGAAGAAGAAGAAGAAAAAGAAGCCAATTTTTGGAAAAGGGGCTCTGGAATGCAAGATTTTGAATTTGCTGAGAGCACAAGTACCTTTTGGCAGTCACTCGATGTACCTGTCTACCAAACCTTATCAAACAGCTCTGATGTAGAAAATCAAGGAGGTGCATGGGGAATGGCCTTAACTACTGAAAACTGTGACAGTTTTCAGAATGCAGGTCCTCTAGAGGATGCAAAAGGGATTGGTTATCCCCCCTCTGACAGCGGCAAGAACAGTCAACTGCAACCACCTAACAGCCATTATTCAGATAGTGAAGGAAGTGAAGTGCCAAGTGGTGAGTCTACCGCTGTTAGCACCCTAAAACAGTTTAAACATGATGTGACAGTACTGCTGAACCTGTTAATGGATGAAAAATTTGCGCATCCTTATGGAACAATAGCTGGAGCAGTAGCATAGCAAGATTAGATTAACATGGACATTCTTTTCCTGATCGCATGCACAAACGCAAAATGCCTTCGATAAGAATTAATGGTGCAACTGTACACTGAATTAGTTGATTGTCATGAAACTAGACAAGGTAATATTGTAGCTTTCTTTACTTGTTTTCTCTTACTTTGATTCCTACTCTCTTCGATTGCTTTGGTTTATTAGTTGTTGCATTAGTTACTGTAAAGTTTGCTTTTTTGTAATCATTGGCATGTTTACTTTGTGTAGATTGATTTTTATGAGAGTAAAACAATGTTTGTATGTATATTAGGGATTAAATTGCTGTTACAGCTTAATGAAAATGTTTAGTAACTATAGTTGTACATTTGTTGAGTTTTACTCCAATCTTATGCAAGGTTTCGTGATGAGTGAATGATATAACTGTATAGAATGCAACAAGAAAGAGACTTTTATAGTAAAAATTTTAACTGATTACAAGGTCTTTAAACTTACTCTGAAATTATTAACATTCTCAATAATGCTGTTTGCAGCTAGTGTATAAATGGCCAACATATATTGTACATACCCAGTACGTTTAGACAGGTTTACGTGTCTTATCCTTGTGTTTATGATCATTTTGACTGTATTCTGTTCATGGTTTTGTGCTTTGATGAATAACTGTAAGTCTCCTTTGACTTCACATTTTTATTCTTTTTTTTTTTGCTATGATTCTGTTTTATAAAAAACAACAAGAACTTTGGAGAGATGTGCTTTGCCCATCAGCAACTGGCACAATATTTTTCGTGCATGTTTGAAATCAGTTAGCAGATTTACTTAAAAAAAGTTTTTGATCATAGGATTTACCTACCGTAAGAGATGTAGTTCAAAGTGTCATCCAGCAAATTAATGGCCTGCGCGAGAGGCGCGAGAAAACTCTCGAGGGGAACGCGCGAGAGGAACGGTGAACAGGGAAGAATTCCTTAAATTTCGCCCCATTCGCCTTAAATTTTTCCCTCTCTCTTCACCCACTCTCTTTCCTTTCCCTCAAAACGCCTCCCACGCAGGCCATTGAATGAAAAAGATTACGTTATTAAATTGTCCTGAAATAATTTGACTAGCTTCGGCGGTGAAATAAAAAACCTTTCTCTATGAAATAATTAGTGTGGAAAGTGCTTACCCTCCATCAGAACGGCTTTAAAAGGTTTCTTAGGCTCGGATTCTGGGTGTAGCAGTTTTTTTTGGAAGTAGAGAAATGAGGTGGAAATGAGCCGGAAATGAGGTGGAACTCCGAAACAGCTCAGCTACTTTGCCTTCCCACCCCCCTCTTCCAGAGAAAAAAATTACTATTTAATCGACTTCGACGAGAGCTCCTTCTAACGATGCAAGTTTGTTGTTTCGGGGATAAAGAGAGAGCAATCTACCTCATCATTTCTAAATTTTTCGGGACCAAAATTTGGTAATTTTTTTTCGACATTCGCGAAATTTTAACTCGCGGAAATTGGCTTCGCAAAATTTATTACCCTTGCGTGACGGCGTCAGTGGCTTGGAACGCATAATTCAACAACAGAAGCTTTTCGACCAAGTTTATCGATATTTATTTGCTTTTTTCTCAACGTTGACTTCTATTTAATCATCTTACCTTTAAAGAATCGTCGTTTCAAATCAGTGTTCATGCTGGAGCACATAGCTTGAATGCCAAGCAGTACTAGACTTCAAGCGCGATAGGTGCGTGTGGGTGCGGCCTGATTCTATTGTTTCAAATCAATGTTCATGCTGGAGCACATAGCTTGAATACCAAGAGTACTAGACTTCAGGCGCGATAAGTGCGGTGGGTGCATAAAAGCACCGTTGGAGCATAAAACTGCGGTACATGTAGGTTCATAAAAGCGCAGTAGGTGCATAAAATTGCGGTAGGTGCACTTAGGTGCGGTACGTATATAAAAGCGCGGTAAGTGTATAAAACGCGGTGGGTGTACAAAAGCGCGTAGGACTAGAACCATGGTCAGGGTGTATAAAAGCGCGGTTGGTGCATAAAAGTGCGGTAGGAGTCTGGAACCGCGGTCAGGGTGTATAAAAGCGCGGTGGGTGCATAACAGCGCGGTAGAAGTCTAGAACCGCAGTCAGGGTGTATAAAAGCGCGGTAGGTGCATAAAAGTGCGGTAGGTGCATGAAAGCAAAAATGGGAAAACTGAGGAACAAAGTACTTAGCATGTGTAAAGTGGACCCACTAAAGTATTCTAGTTCAGCGAGTTACACCACACAGATGATGAAATTTTAATACTACTATAACAGGATCTCCCAGAGGACTGCCAGAGCATTTTGCGTTAGAAGAATTTGGTGTACAATCGAACGCTCTTTTGGAATTCAATTAGAGCATTTTACGCGAAAAGTGCTTTAAAGCGCGCATTCTACTCAAGATTTCCCAATAACCCCATACTTGATTGTGTATACAACTACATTCGTACCTGTATAAAGTGACACCTATTTACCGGTCACCCTGTACTTAGCGGTCGATTGTCAAAGTTCCGAACAGTGTTGCCCTCAATTACTGTAATTTCACATTTATCAAGCAGTCGCCTCCATTGATTCTAATCGCGCCAGCGGCCTGATTCTATTATTCTCTACCTGTATTGAACGGTCACTTCAAGTGGAACCACTCGAATTAAACTAAGAATAATCTTTCAAGCAAAATTTTATCCATGTTTACCTACCGAAATCAATGCTACTAGTATTTTTGAGCGATGTTTTGAACCTTAAATGGTCAATTTACATTTCAACACGATACTGTTTCTTACAATAGAGTAGGGTTATAAAAACCTTTCCAACGGAATCCGCATTTCCATCATTTCAGAAAAAAATTTTTGAAAATGATTTTTGTGTAATTTCATTATAGAGCTCGCGGAAGAATTTCTCATCCCAAGTGGAAAGGTTCAGCTGGGCTCTACTTGGCAGGGAACACTGATAAAAGATTGGGGAGGAAATCCCAGGAGTCTGCGCGAACCTCAAACACCATAGATTTCAACATGGCGCCGGCTGCCGAGAAGAAGAAAGAGAAAGAGGCAAGTGCAGACAAAAAAGACGACAAAAAATCGAAGGATGAGACCAAAAAAGAAGAAGAGCCTGAACTGGTAATTCTCTTTCTGTTTTTTCTGATTGTTCTTGGGGTTCTTTAGAGGAAAATGAATGAAACAAACCAACGTGACTCATCAACTTTTCTGGCTCGTGACAGCGATTTCTTCTTTTTTTTATGTATATATAATAAACGAATAATTCTGGGATGTTTAACAGAGCGAAGAGGACAGACTGTTGCAAGAAGAGTTGACAATGCTTGTGGAAAGACTGTCGGTAAGTCGCTTAAAGCTCTCATTTAACGATAAAAATGCTCTCGTGAAAGGATCGATCTTCAAACATGCCTTTCAATTAAACGAACGAACATGGAAAGACGGCATGCAATTTTGTAATATGTGACAATAAATGGAACTTTATATTCTTCAAAGTAAACCTTGTTTTTGGACACCATCTGGGAGGCCTGAATGACGAATTGTCGAGTTGACATCTGCCACTGCCATTCAACGTATGCGGCCGTTGGGCTACAATTCCCGGTGATCGTACTAGAAAAAAAAAGGCCAACAGAAGCTAGATCATTGTTTTTATGTTTAATAGATCAGCGAATCACTGTTGTATTGTACCTGTTTAATCAGCTGGTACATTCTGTTATCTTCCTCTCTAGTTTGCTACAAGTTATATCAAAAGTTTTGGTTCACTTAAACCCTTCAACACCTTTGAGTGTCAAAGACAGAACTTCTCCAAAAAATATCAAATACAATATCAAACATACAAATACTGAGATTTAAGAAATGTATCAACTAGGGTATTAGTCTGTGACCTATCCCAAATTCTCCAAACAAAGAATTGTGTGACAGATAGTAAGGAGAATTACAAATGAGATCTTGGGAGTTGAGGGGTTGTTAGGATATAATGTAGCATTGGAGATTGAAAAATTATCAGGCTACCACACAGAATTTTTTTTTTATCAAGAACTGATATGTAGTTATTCAAGTGTTACTCAAGTCTAATCTTCTGCTTGTTTAGTTTTGATGAAAATTCTGCTTGATGTGAATTAATTATTCAATTTTTGAAACATTAGGAATCCAATGTATCATTACACAAACCAGCACTAGAAGCACTGAGGTCTCAAATCAGAGCCAGCACAAGCTCGATGACATCTGTTCCTAAACCCTTAAAATACCTCAGACCACACTTCTCTACATTGAAAGAAATATATGAGAAATGGGGTGATGGTGAAAATAAGGTAAGTAAGTTAGACTTAACTTAAAACATGCCTGCCCTGTTAATGAAGCTGTTTTCCACAAAAGGCAAGTGGTTACACATACCAAAGGTAAAATCGAAATAACTACATTAAAATACAAAAAGACTGAAATAGTCAGGCAAATCTAAGATGATGAGAAGTTGTGAGAATCAATTTTGGTTTTAAATGGTGGTTAAGATTGGTATAGTCAAATGTCTAAGGAGAATAAAACTTTTTTTTCAAGAAAACAAGAACCATTAAATATACATCTGTCTACAACTGATTAGAGACTTAGCAGTTATGCAGGATATATTGTTCCTCTCTGTCTGGGCAGTTGTAATTGGCACTAGGGACTCCCTGTATGCCTGTGTAGAGGTTCAGGTTTTTAGTGTAGGTCTGGTTAATATTTAGAATGCAATTTTGTGATGAATACCTGAGCCAGGAAATTATTACTTTGAAGTTTATAATTCTTTACCTGATTCCTTACTTTGTAATGAATTTTAGAGATTCCTGGCAGACATTATCTCAGTACTTGGCATGACAATCAGTGAAGGCCGGGAGTGTCTGAAATTTAGAATGTTGGGATCAAAAGAGGAACTGGAGTCATGGGGACATGAATATGTCAGGTCAGTAGACTGCTGTCACAGCAGGTCCACACTTTGCTTGGATTCAGCTATGTATAATTATATGTGCTGTATCAGTAGCATGTGTATATATCTGTACAGGCTGTTCATATAAACATTCCCAAAGCAGTTGACAGTTGAAAGGTAAACATTTAAAAAAATGATTCATGGTCACTTTGTACCTTGATCAGATTGTTCCAAGTCAAATCTTTCAACATTATTGTCAGATTGTTCCATAGATATATAGGATACAGGTTTTCAGCTGTCTTATTTAACAATAGAAGATTAAGAGAAATTTTTAAGAATATCTTGTGTACACCAGGATGACTGTGGTCAATATTCATGGTTTTCTTGACAATCCTCTTTGAAAATGGTTCTTTCTTAAATTTTCCTTGTTTCTTTTTTTCCTTTGGAAAATTGTGGCAGAACACTCACAGGATCACACATGTCAGAAGGGAAAATTGGGTCATACATTTATTTCATTGATTCTTGATTCTCAATTCTTAATTCTATAAACTTGATTCTCCAAAATTTAGAAAATAGAGTTTATTTAGTGTTAGTAATATATGTCATAAAAATAAAAATAAAAAAAATTGTATTTAAAAAAATTTAAACTCCAAACTCAGTGCTGGCCTTTTAATTTGTTGAGGATGGGAGGATTTAGTTTAAAGACTGTCAGCTTTTATTTATAAGCAGTACTGTATTTTTGGAACTGTTCAGTCATTTCCTCAGTATCTGATTATCAATCCACAGACATTTGGCTGAGGAAATTCGTGGCGAGTACAGTGACAGATCAGACAAAGGAGGGGGAGTGGAAGATCTTGTCGCCCTTGCTAAAGAAATTATACCATACAACATGCAGCACAATGCAGAAACTGAGGCCTGTGACTTACTGATGGAGATTGAAAGACTGGATTTACTGGAGCAATATGTTGATCAAAACAGCTTTCAAAGAGTCTGTCTTTATCTCACAAGGTCAGAAGCTTTATAAACAGATAACAGACAGAAGTGACAGGCAGATAATTATGTTTTTCAGTGTTAAAACTAGGTAACTGTATGGCAGAGAATTGTGTTAAGTAACAAGAGAAATTGTTAGAGAAATGAACTGACCTTAAACAAGCTTTACATCCACTGTAAATTACATGACTGTGCAAATGGCCTTCTGTCTAGTTGAAAAAAAAGATTGACATTTCTTGTTTTTTTTTTTTTTCTTGCAGCTGCGTGAGTTATGTTCCTGAGCCAGAAGATAGTACTTTGTTGAAAACTGCATTGAAAATTTTTAGAGAGTTTGACCGCCAGCCAGAGGCTATGAAGTTAGCCATCCAACTGAATGATGTAGATCTCATCAAGGACATTTTTCTTTCATGTAGTGGAAGGTAAGTTCTACATCATGCTTTAGTTACATTTTGGGCCCAGTTGTATGAAGGGTAAATGCTATGCATGGTACAATTGTCATCCAGTAGACAATTTTTGACCAAACTTATGGCACAATCCAGCTCTATACTGTTCTCCATGCCTTTCCTATGTTGCTGACAAGGGAAATTGGGTTAGCAATCAAGAATTTCTTTAGTTGATGATCACTTCCTTTATTCTGATGTCCCTAATTAGTAATGCAAGGGTGATATTTTGAGGAGAAATTAGATGGTTGTCACTCGTAGAGGTTGAAGGGTTGACTCAGTTACAAAGTGAACAAAGATTGTTTTTCTTCTAACAGTGATGAGAAAAAATTAATCCAGAGACAGATGGCATTCATGTTGGCAAGACAACAAGTCTATCTGGAGCTTGATGAAAACATGGATGACTATGATGAGTTGGTGGAGATCATGTCCAATGCACATTTAAACAACAATTTTCTCAGTCTTGCAAGAGAGGTGATGCACTCATTACAGTTGTACTTGAATTTTTGTTGGAAATTTTCCAACATTCAAAGAGGTTTTAAATGAATGTTACAAAACTGCATCTTAAAATATAAAGGATTAATGTACAGTGTACTTTATGTCAGGAATTTTTAAGAAGGGGTCTGAAGACTTCCTCTATCTATACCCAAGAAATATAATCCTTCTGTATGCAAGAGAAGATTATACATTTAACTTGACTTCCATCTCCCTGAAATCATACGTAATCAACTGTGATGTACTTGAGAGGGTACATGTTTAAGACAGAAACTACATGTGCAAGGATATTGTTAACTTCAGATTGCCTATACCCTGCAGTGCATAACACAAATACTTTGATTACTAATAATTTGATTGTTCATACATTTTGTGGTGCAGTTGGATATCATGGAGCCTAAAGTTCCTGAGGATATTTATAAAACACATCTAGAAAATAAAGGTATGAACTCTATTCTGTTCATATCTTTTAACAGAAATTTAATTATTGCTTTATAGCCTATAAAACATACATAGATTGTTGTTTTACTTACACTGGTAACTCAAGACAGATGTTTGGCATCCTTCATTTTATAGATTGTTTTATCATAGAGTGTTATTCAGCAAAGGCCGTCTTTCCTATACATTTATCTTAAATTTTACTCAAATAAGTGTTAAAATGTTTTTTTCTTTGCTTCCAGGAGTTTCAAGTGGTGTTGCATTGGACTCTGCAAGACAAAATTTAGCTTCCTCATTTGTGAACTCTTTTGTGAATGCTGCATTTGGTGCTGACAAGTTGTTAACAGAGGATGGTAACAAGTGGATTTATAAAAACAAGGAGCATGGTATGAATTTATAGCTAGAAAAGCTACTTTTTTAAATTGTGTGTCACAAATGATCCATAATTGCATTAAGTTTTCTTCATTAAGCTCTATGATTTATCAAGAAAACATGCGCCACCTTCTCAACTGGAATGGTTCAAAATTAAAACCAATTCTGTTGGACTTGTTACTTTCATTTCCCTACACTGTATATTTCAGAAAGTTTACTGGTATTATTTTGAGGTCTTGTTGACACTCAGCAGGAATTTTAGGTACTGGTACTCAAACTCACTGTTTGTGAGGGGGGCAGCAATTGTTTTTTTTTGTGTCATACTTGTAATGAAACAAATACCTTGATTCCTTTTATTATTTCCAGGTATGATGAGCACAACAGCATCACTTGGTCTGATTTTGTTATGGGATGTTGATGCAGGACTCACTCAGATTGACAAGTATTTATATTCCACTGAGGACTATATCAAGGTACATGCACAAGGATTTTACATTGCTACAATAACTGTAGGTTATTCTGCTAGTTCTGTCCTGTGTACCATCTTACATTCCTGTGCCTCTGTTGGCTTCCCACTGTTAAGTCATCAGTGTCAAAAAAACTTTGTATTGATCACTGCATGGCGAAGCTAGACAGGTCATATGTAGATGTAATAGTCTTTGGAGTCTAGAAAGTGCAGGACTGCATAGTTTAAAAGTGCTCATAGATGTTAGTCAATAGCTGGCACCACCCACAGTCCCTTTCTGCACCCAGTAGTATAAATGGGTACCACTATCTACCAGAGACAAAAGTAACAGGGTTACCTACAAAGGACTCATACCTTGTTTAGGAGGAATAGCTGTAATTTTCCTTGTTGCTCTCTATTATGGAACTTGAAATACGCACTATCATTATTGTGCCACAAGCCTTTTGAAACTTAACTTGCAAATAAGGTTGTCTTCTGTAATACTTGTTCGTGTAGTTTTTGAAGATACATTCATGTTATTGCTTGTAGGCTGGTGCTCTTTTGGCTTGTGGCATAGTTAACTCTGGTGTGAGGAATGAATGTGATCCAGCCCTGGCTCTGCTATCAGATTATGTTCTGCATAACAATAACATCATGAGACTTGGATCGGTTGTTGGGTAAGCTGAGGGTTTGGTTATTTGTGTAATTTTGTGATTTTAAATGCACTCTTGAAAGGGTGCATGTAGTCATGTGAATGTACTATTTCCTCACATGTAAAAAGATGGATGGTGGATGCCTGTGGTGTGCATAGGGTTCTACTGCATCCAACCAACTACAAATTCTACACCCATGGACAACAAATCCTTGCAACTTATGCACCTGTCAACACTGATTGGATCATTGGATTGGATTGGATCACTGGATCCCAATCATTAAGTCTGCAGAAAACTATGTGCTCCATGCAGTTGCCACTTCTATTTATTCAATTTAGCTTTATGTCATTAAAAAAAAGTTGAAATATCGTGGTTGCATGTTCAGCGACAGTATACGGTCAATTTCCTCCTTGAAGAGGGATGTTTTTCTTCCCTGGGTAATCCTACCCAGGTTTGTTTTTACTCTGGTCTTTGGAACAGTTGAATCATTAGAATTTGCTGTGTAACCACTACATGTATGTCTCTCCCAGGCTTGGTCTTGCGTATGCTGGTTCAAACAGACAAGAAGTTTTGTCCCTTATTCTTCCCGTTCTTGGTGACCCAAAGTCGAACCTAGAGGTGAGATGTTTAACTACTGGTTATTTGTACATCTACTCTAAGCCTCTTTTACTTAATTACAATTTGTTTTTTTCGTTGCATAGGTGATTGGTATGGCGAGTATAGCTTGTGGCCTTGTTGCTATTGGAACATGTAATGGAGAAGTTACGTCAACCATACTTCAAACAATGATGGAGCGCTCTGAAACAGACGCCAAGGACACAAATGCTCGGAATTTAGCCCTGGGTCTCGGTTTGACATTTTTAGGTAAGGCAGTAATTTCAGAAGGCAAATTATCCCAACGTTTTCCTCACTTTTGTTACAGTAAGTTGTCGTGGTAAGAATTTGGTTCTCACGTCAACAAAGTAGTTGCGACCGCCTTTGACTTTCTGCTGGCTCTGTTACAGGTCGCTGTTTTAAGTTTTTGTATTTTCACTGAGGAAAAAGCATTTGGATCCGTTGCCAGCATAAGAAGGGAATTTACAATTTTTCGTTTTCCAGTTTTTAGGAGCAGAGAAGTACCGGTATTTTCGGTAATCGTTTCTTTTTGTAGATACTTTTAGGGTCTAATTTTGTACGATTGGCTTCTTTTCACTTCCAGGTAAACAAGAGGCTGCGGAGGCTACCCTTGAAGCTCTTAAAGTCATCCCAGAACCTCTTGCGAAGTGGGCAACAATCCTTGTTGAAATCTGTGCATATGCTGGTGAGTTGTGTATTTACAGGCGTGGATGTTGATGTTAAGTAGAACAGAATTTTCTTTGCGCAAATTATTTTAGCGAGGGCTCATTTAATCAAAGGATTTGGAAAGTTATGGAGTTTTAAAATTCGAAAGAGTACGAGGTGGTAGGGGTGGTATTGTTGGGGATGATGCTCTATGGAGAGGTGTCCATTCAACTGAGGTGGTAGTTCAGGGGAACAAAGAAGGAGCAGCTTCACTCTACCTAAAGTTGTTGTTTCGATAAGGATGACGATGACTATGATAAAAAATAAAATATTAATTTAAATTTAAAGTTTTCAAGGCGCACAAACTGACGTACAGTTGTACAGTACATACGTACGTTGTTAGACGCTTTTATACTGTTGTGTACAGCTCCTAATCTTATCAAGACCTGATCTTACCTTTCATCTTGCCTGACAAAAACTTTCGTTTGGCTTGCATCAGGAACCGGAAATGTTCTCAAAATTCAGGAGATGTTGCACATCTGTAGTGAGCATTTTGAACAGAAAGACGACGAAGAAAAAGAAAAGGATTCCAAAGACAAAGATTCAAAGGACAAAGATAAGGATAAAAAAGAGGCAGAGAAGCCAGATGATGGCAGCCACCAGGGCGTGGCTGTATTGGGCATCGCTTTAGTTGCTATGGGGGAGGAAGTTGGCTCTCAGATGGCGCTCAGAACCATGAATCATCTGGTATGTTTAGAATGTTTACACCTTTTTGGACGCTAATTAGTGCCTCCGTTACTTTTTCGAAGGTAATGTTATGCTGTTATTCGTCGTGTTTAAGATACATCCTGGCATTCATTTCTCTTTGCTACGGTTATAAGGATATGCTTCAGAAAAAGTGACCTTTCAATTTTTCAACGGCTAGGCCTACTTAACTTTGAAATGGTCCATTTGCTAATTTTAGTAAACGGTTAGGGTCGAGGGCCTCCTGTTTGGAAAGAAAAGTAAAGAAGATCACAAGTTTAATTATCGGTCATCCAATGGTGAAGTACTGAATGTGTTTGTTTTCTTACAGCTACAGTATGGTGAACCCGTGATACGCCGTGCGGTGCCATTGGCTCTTGCTATCCTATCAGCTTCCAATCCACAACTGAGTATAATCGACACTCTTAGCAAGTTGTCACATGACAATGACGCTGAAGTGTCACATAACTCCATTTTTGCCATGGGAGTTGTCGGTGCAGGTAAGCTAAAAATAAAAACATTTAAAAGAAAACGTCACGGTCTGATGTCACGTTGTTTGGCAACATTATTTTTTTCAAAGTCTGCACAAGTTTCATTAATTTTTGTTATTCATCTGTACAATAAGTCTCGCTTTAGATTCCCTATTTTGAACTGCACGTTTCTCTAAATTAACAGCAAAATGTGTTTTGTGCAAAAGAGAAATGTTTTTCGTGAGATTGGTTTTCACACGCAATTTAAAAGGAGGCCTCTCAGGTTTTGCTCTCAAATCTGCCTCCCTTTGAAGCATCTTAGTATTGCCTTGTTTTTTGCACCTACAGGTACCAACAATGCACGACTCGCGGGAATGCTCCGTCAGTTGGCCATGTATTACCACAAGGATGCAAACAATCTGTTTATGGTGCGACTCGCACAAGTGAGTGTAAGGCTGTAATGCGGAGCTCTTCGGCAAACGAGCTTGGCTACCAACTTGATAGCAGTCTGTAGTACAGGCTTCACTTGAAGGTCATCGACGTCTGATTAAATTCTGAGCTGAAGTAGAAGGAAGGGGTCGACGGTGAATCGCAAAACGAGAAAACGTGTTTTCTTGCTTTTCGATGAACGGAATGTTCAGGATTTTTCCTTCAATTTTATTCACCCTCGTTATAGGAGTGCCCTCATTAACAAAATTCCATAGAAACGGCCATACGTTATTTATGTTAAACAAGAAAACCTTTATCTCGCTGTTTGAGACGCGATGTTAATGTTTCTTGGTTCTGATGATACTGTATCTTTGGTTGCCTCGATTCGTGAAGTTAAAGGTGGCCTTTTTTGACTTGATGAGAGTTGTACAATTTTTACCAATTCAATTTTGTAGATTTTTTTTTTTGTGTGTGTCATTGGTGTTGCCTTTAGGGATTAGTCCACCTTGGTAAAGGTACGCTTACACTCGGACCGTATCACTGTGATCGCTCCTTGATGATGCCTGTTGCCGTCGGTGGCTTGCTGTCTGTCCTCTTGTCGTTCTTGGATGTGAAGAACGGTATGGAAATATTTCTTTTTTCACTCAAGAAGATTTTTTGACATTTCTCGCGGGCGTGGGACGAAGAAAAAAGTATGGTTTCCTGATAAGAGTACGCTCCCCAATCAATTCTGATTTCGCGACCGGTTTACTTAACGAGTTATGCTTAGAAGAACTCTATGATAAACTACGCCATAAACTGGGTTCGAATTTTGACATCTAGCAAGGTGCATTGCTTGGTGTAATGTTTGGCAGGTGATAAGTCTTTTTTTTTTTTTTTCTAAGTGTAGCATCATTTGTTTCTATCATGACTCCATGTTGTTTCTCTTCAGTAATTCTTGGTAAATCGCACTATGTGCTGTTTAACCTGGTATCTGCAATGCAGCCTAGAATGCTTGTCACGTTTGACACAGACCTACGTCCTTTGCCAGTCTCTGTCCGAGTTGGCCAGGTGAGATTGATCAATAGACTTTCTAATGAAGAGGATTACTGATTTTGATATCTAGCTTGTTGCTCCTTACTGTTCCTTTGAATTGTTTCATCCTAGCCATGTCTCGTTTCTTCTTTATCTATTGAAAGTGGTAAAAACTTCACCTTCAGCGATTATTTGCGAAAATAAAATGCAACGCATATGAGAATTACAGTCGTAAATTACAGATCTTGACTTGAGTTATTGTTTCAAAAGGCGGTTGATGTGGTTGGCCAAGCAGGAAAGCCCAAGACAATAACAGGATTTCAAACTCACACCACTCCTGTGCTGCTTGCGTATGGAGAACGAGCAGAGTTAGCCACAGAAGAATGTATCCTTTACACTTTCAGCAACTAATTTGTTTTTGTCCCCGACTCTGGACGAATAGCCTGTGCGCATGCCGTCATAATCAGCTCTTCGGTACGAGTATTTCTTGGCTCACGGGAGGTCTGCAAGGGGTCTGGAACTGATTATTAGTGCCAGAACTCCGGCAAACGCTCCCCCAATTTGTCTCAAATCTTCACGCGGGCGGAAAAAGGCGCGTCCTGCAGCGCATACTATTAAGGGGCCAGCTCGCATACTATGACACGAAATGACGCAATACCGCTTTCATTTTTGTCCGCTCGGGCGTTACTCTTTCTGTCTAGATACGTGTTATTGAAATGTTTGGCGAAATTGTGAGTTAAACTGCTTATATTTTGCTTAACCATGGATCAGACATTTCGCTCGCGCCGATAATGGAGGGTTTTGTCATCTTGAAAAAGAATCCAGAATACGAAAAGGCAGAGAGCTAAATTGCCGAGACATGGGTGGCACGTTTGTAAATAAACTTTACAACCGGTAATAGACTGCCGAGTAACAGACCTCTTCAGTGCGACAGTGAGAGTGCTAAAACTACTGGAGAACTTTCTTTCACCTTAGGAAGCAGCAAAAATATGTTAGTCAACTTCCAACAATGAAGAATGCTTTTGCAAAATAAAATCTTATTTCACCCGTGCTTTGCCATTTTTCTTCTGTTACTGCTTCCCCACTAACCCGAAGGATTTCTTGAGGCCTTGCATTTTTTCATTCTCATTAATGAGCTTGTGGCCCAAGGGATTTCAGAATCGATTCATTAAAAAAGACAAACAAACGATAACATATGATTGGGGTTTTTAAAATATTTGGAAGCATTTTTGTCATAGTAAGAAAAAAAGGCAATATCAAAAACGATACTTGGACGATTAATAAAGGTAATAGGACCGAGTGGAGTCCAGTTTGGTCTGTAATCATACGAGTGACTAGACAAATTGAACGACCGCGAAGCAGGAGTCCGGTTTGTTAATCACGAGTCGAACCGACGGAAAACATTCTCTCCAAGGAAATGACAGCATGAGTGTAGGTGGAAGTTAGGTCTGTACAAACGTCAGAATCGATATAAATAATGCGTTAAAATCCCAATCAGCAAATCGGCAACAGCTAGGCTGATGGAAGAGAGAAAGCGCGTTTTTGGCGTCTCTGTTGAAAGAACATCCAGATGGTGAGAACATTTCAAAACTGATCGAAGTCGCCAATACACCATCAAATACGTTCCCAGAGATGTTCCATGATTTAAAATTCATGATATCAGACAATCTTGTTCTTTTATTAGGGAAAAACCTCTACTTTTCAGCTAGAGATTTATTTATCATTACTCTGGTTGTTTTCCTGACGCTTCTTGTCAGGACATCATCGCCGGTCTTACACTTTTGTCTATTCCCGCTGTTTTTCGACTTCTTAACCGTACGGTCTTTCCATGGGTTGGAACTGTCGTTCTCTACTTAACCTGGACTGGGAATTGAGTCCTTCGAAGCCTGTGCATTATGCGTGAGTAGCATATAGTTGGGCTTAGCAGAATGCGCACTACTGTTTCTTCGTGTGATCACGGAATCTTGCGGAGTTTATTCCATTAAATTTTCCAACTCATCGACAAAGTCTAGAACATCAAACACATTACCAAGCTTCAAATCTGTCTTGATGGAAGAGTAAAAGAATTCCGGACTCTGCAATCAGAGTAAAACAAAATGGACCATTATTGAATATAGTCTGACCTCACTACCTCTGCTTGTAAAGCACTTCGCAGTCAGTTTTCTTAAGGGAATTGTCATGATATAATAACACATTGTCCCAAAAATCATTGAATGGTTATACAAACCCCTTTGATTAATGTTCACTTAAAAAATGAATGCTAGCAAGAGATTAAGGAAATTAAAAATGTATTCCTTTAGTGTCGAGTGTTAAAGTTCAAAAGTGATCACAAGTAAATTCCCTCACGATTTGTGTGATTTGATGTTTTACTTGATCAAATGACACGATGCGTTCATACAAATCTACTGTACTTCTTCCTCATTTTAAAAAAAAGCCGATTTCAAAACGGCCTCTAAAAATTAGTTTACATGTATGGAAGTACACATGTATGATCTGGCTCAATAACTTGTCCTCTGCAATTCAGGTCATAGAGATGAGAGCAATCGAGCGAAATGTTTTAAGGTCTGGGCGTGGAACACTCAATGGAGATCCCTGATTTTCTCTGTGCTGCACTCTAGTGCCAATAATGACCTATTACTATAAAATTACGACAAAAAGGGTGACTACCTCCTTTCTAAGATCGTGCAGGCGTTGTAATCTCCGACCATCAAGTCTTTGCAGGGCTTTTGAATCTAACCTGGGATTTAAAGTAGATTAAAAACCATCAGAGAACTAGAATTCCCCTGCGATGAAAAACTCAATTACTCAGCTGTCATTCTGCAGTCACCTATTCTCTAGTCCTATGGCCTTAAGCCAGGTTTTCACATCACTACATGTCCACGATCTGATGGAGGGGTGAGGCGAGGCGTCCACAACATCCTCAACCGCGGCTACAATTCGGATGGTAAAATTAGATCAATTTAGAAATATAAACAAGATTAAATCAGGTTTAAAAACCAGGGGCGTGGCTGCGAAAAGGGGAAGAGAAAGTGATACTACATTGTGTGGGGCCGGACGCGTTGACACGATCCGGTCCAGTAAAAGCCGTCCGGTCCTGCGCTCACACGGCTCTTATACCTCGAACCAAATATTTTTCCGTCCGGCCCTCCCGCTCAGTCAATAAGTACATAACAGTCAAGCCCCAGATAGGCGGCGTTGGATCTCCTCCCTCTCCTACTGCCAATTCTACCTGCGCCCTTGATGACAGAAATCCAAATTTTGACGGGTATTGTATTATTCTCGAAAATCAAACATTCTCCCTCCTCCAACCTGCTATGTACAATACACATCACCTTATCCTACAAACTGCAGAACTATAATCTGTCACATATATAGAGCAAAAAAATATTCCGACCATATTTTTGCTTACGTATAATTGATTGATAGCATTGCTACCACCTTAATGTTCCTCGAAGACATTTGTCACAAATCAGTTGCAACTTTACTGATTCGTGATCAAATCTATTTTAAATGATAAAAAACAAGAAGACAGAATAAAAGTGAGCTTTTTGCCGAAACGAATAAAAAGAATCATATGTGCTCGGTTTGTGATTATCTGTACCTTGAACAATGGATTCCACCACCTCAATTTTTCCACGGGTTCCCAGTTCTTTCACAAGTTTGGTCACATTAGAGTCCAGTTTATGTTTCTCACTGAAGTCAATCCAGAATTTGGATCCTACAATGAAGCCGAGCCAACCATCAGGTCTGTATTTACCATCCACCATCAAAGGGATGACGTCTTTGCGTAGCTGATATGTGTACTCTGCCTCTAAATAAGTTCGACAAAATGAAATATTCAAATGCTATCAGAATCTAATTAAGGTAACGTATCGTATTAAGGAATGTGCAAAGAAACAACAGCTGAGTGGAAAATTTGATCTAATACATTAGTCTTGCGAGTCATTTTTCTGTCGAGCTGTAAGTCATATCAACACTTAAAACTATTTAACTACCAATACTTCTTCCAGGAGTTTACAGTTTTGTTGACGGACATCTTAGGATTTATATTAGGAACTAGGTTTATGCTACCATACGAATTTTCAGGTACAGATCATTTAAGCCCAAGGTTTCTTGTTTTTGTCAATATCCTTAATCGAAGTTAGAAATTGACTTCCAAAATTTCATTACCTGATCTACAGTTAGGACTCTCCTTATATTTCTGAGACACACACACCAACACCACACTTGCATTTTCCACAGCCTTGGCCATACTTTCCAGAGTGGAGCCACCCATCTCATCGATGTCCATCCAAACCTTGAAGCCGTCCGCTTCAAGTTTGTTCTTGATCTGAATCACGAGTTTTTGTACATCCCATTGGTAACTGATCATAACGTGCTTGGCGTCTGTAGAAATATACAATGAAGACTAAATGATGCAGAAACAGGTACGACCAAGGTAGACCACAATACAGGTGTCATTTTTTTTTGCCCTTTTCGGGCGAGTGGAGAAAGCGGAAGGCAAGAGCTAGAGGAGCGCGTCGCACGCAAGACGAGGAGCGTGTATGCCTAATGTTTATTTTTTTTCTTTTATTGTTTACTGTTTCAATAACGAAACCTTCGCGGGGGCGGTCCGTAGCTTATCAGTTTTGGCAGATCATGAACACTCTAGAAGGGTAAAGAATGGATCCTTGCACAATTGAGTTAGGAGATGGACAATATGAAGGCGAGAGAGGCAATGTGATCCAGTACCTTGGGTGCTAGACACAAGTTAGAGCCCTCTATCCTGCTACTCAAGGGGCTGTCGTTGTCATGATTAAAAGTCCATATTCTTACTTGTGCTCTGGGAACTGCTGACTGACTTTACACAGTACTCTTTCCCAGCTGGAATTTGCAAACATGCTTACTTTGAGGCTAGAGGGAAAAAATTTCCTTCAAGGGCATGCTTCGCCTTCAAGCTTATTGTGTCTCAGTTTTTGTCCAATTCATACATTTCTTAGTAACTTGATAGTGAAGTAGTGCTGTCAGTAACTGTAAATAGACTCTACAGATGTTTGCTTAGCAACAAGGGTAAATTTTGTGAGAAAGAAACAGGAAATCAACAGTACAAAGGTGACTTATGAAGGACTTTCACTAAGCAATCCTGCAAAATACTTCGAATGCACATCGTGCACATGTACCTGTTATCTGTTGCAATCCAACTTTCTGCTTTTTTTCCTCAGCATATCTTTCTTTCCCATTGCATTCCCATAGTGCACCAGCAGCAGCTCGCTGTATTTCAATGTTCTCATCAGTAAGAAGTTTCTCAAGTTCACTTATGGCCTGTTCATTGGCTTTAATTTCCCTCTGATTTTCCTCATCAAATGCCAAGGTCCAAAACGCATTGCATGCATTGAGTTTCTCCTCATTATCTTTTGCAGTTTGGAGCATCCTTACAAGAATTTGAATGGCTCCACATTTAGCAATCTGAAATAGATAAAGAGATTCAACCCCACAAGTACATGGTGCTCAGGGGTTCTTCACTGGGATGCTTTGACCATGAAGATCATGTTCTATAACCAAGCTAATTAACACTTTTATACCTTACAATGCCTCTGACCCATAAATAACTCTATTCAGTCTTCTACAGGTAATACACTTTCTACACCCTCATTGCAAAATTCCTATCCTTTCATAAACATCTGACTGGCTCAAAAAAAAAAAACAGAGAATTTCACACAGTGGCAACTGTACCCCTTGCCTATAAGTTAGGTACAAATTTGCAAATGGCCTGATGTACTTAGGCCCTAGTTAGACTATTATACATACTGCCGGCCTGAAATGGTATCATTTTACAATCATGCAGTCATATTACAGCTCGCATCCCCAAAAGATGTCAGGTCATGGTTTTGTATGCATTGCTTGCATTGCACTTGCTAGCAAATAAAGTTGATCTTTCCTTCCCTGTCTGCATTTTTGGTAAGTAAGAAACAATCAAAACAAGACAGTAATCCCATCTTATTACCATTTTCTTGTTGTTATCATTGACTGCAATTTGTGTCAATCCTTCAGCAAGCTCTGATGAAGAGAAGCCAATACATCTATGATTTGAATATGACAAGGACATCTTTAGCAAGTTTGTAAGAAGTTTGATGGGACCTGAAAGGTGAAATTAAAAAGATGAAATTTTAAAATAATTAAATCACAAGATATTTAACAAAACATCTTTGTTATAACACCATTTAATTTGAATTATCACTTGCAGTGAGATTTTGAGGTGTTACCATGATCATAAATCATAACATTGAAACTAATCTGCTGTTAACAAATATAATAATGGAAGCTACATAACAATTTAATTTAACACTTTAAGTCACTTTCAAAACAAAATGATATCACTTTAAGCATAAATTTAATAATTAGCTGCCTATAGCCGTTCAACAAATTTGGTTTTCAAAGAGTGAAATTCATTTAAAGTCTCAGCTCCCATTAAAGCTGATGCCAAAATATTTCTGTGAATTTTACCTTCATCTGCCATGATCATGTGATTGTTACTTTCATCAATTAAATAAGCCAAAATAAGCAAACATTTGGCACCAAAAAGAGCCACTTCAGCCTTAAGAAGAGGAATGAGTGTATCTAATGCCTGACAAGCAGCAAAGTTCACCCTGGTAGGTACACGTTTAGACAAGTTATGAAGCACTCCTAAGATATTTGAAAGCATTCTGCCTCGTACTGTGAAATTTTTTATATGCTGTGTTTGGGGATTCTGTTAATTCAAGATTGTAAAACATTAACAGCAATAAACATCACTGAATATTAGATACAGTAGAACATCACTAACTTGAACTCCCAAGAAATGGTTAGCATCAGTAGGGGTTTAAGTCAACTGATAGTTAATGAATGGAAAAATGGGGTCAAGGGAAATCAGATCTTGTTCAAGTTTTCAAGGTATTTGAGTTAACCAAATTCAAGTTCAAGGGTTTTACAGTATGATAATAAAAAAGAAAAAAACTAAAGAAATCATTAATGATTATAATAACAATAATAATTATAGTAACACAGCTGTCAAGGAAAATGAAGAAAAAAGTGTAAATAAACATCAGAACCCTGAGAGAGAGACCAAGTAAATGTGGAGATCAAGTCTGAACTGGTGTAACGTTCCATTCATATTAGGGGCATGGAAAACAGTCCCTAGAGAAGGATTGTGTGTGGACACTCAATTAAACCTCAAACAAACAACTTTCAGTGAAGCTGTAGTTATAATCTTTAAAAATATCATAGAGCATTTAATGACAAGCTGAAGAGTGGCCTTTTTTCATTTTTTAAAAATTGGCCATTTGAGGTTTAAAATCAAATTCGTTACAAAGAGGCAGGGGGGAGGAGAGGGTATCCAAAGAAAATGAAGTATGAAGTAAGGATCTACGTACCACAAATTTTACATTGTGAGAAATTGCATCTTTGAGTTCTTTTGTCATCTCAACAAAAATTTGGACCATGCCAACATTGCTGCAAGCTACACAGAATTGATCATGAAGGTCTGAGAAATTCAAAAGCACTCCCACTAGCTTGGTAATGATATCTTGGCACAAGCTCAGTGATTCTTTCTGGT